TCAATCCTTTCATTTAAAGGCTGCATGCTTTTATTTTACTTTATACTTGTATTATTCTTTTAATAGTATTAAAATTGTAACTTATTGTAATAAGTTAAAATAATTATTTTGAAAAGTATGACAGCATGTAGATTTTGAAAAACATTTTATTGTTGGAAAAACAGTAGAAAGTGTTCATTGTAAAACATTGTAAAAATGTTATTTAATAAACACAATGAAACTGAAACTTTTTTCTTATCTCTTTGAACATAACAATATAAATTTGAGTAATTGAACTTAATTAACCAAATAGATTAAAACAAAATCATGAATGTTACGTTGATTGAACTAAACAAAATTACATTAACTTTATGTAATTACCTTATGTTCACTGAAATAAATATTCTTTCTTAAAGGCAACTTAACTTACGTGGAACCTGTTGACATAAAAAAGTTAAGTAATGTCAACATATCATTTTTTTCAGTGTAGCTAAGCTCAAAATAAATAAATCGTAGGGCCCTGACGGCATCTTACCTATAGTTTTAAAAGAGATGAGGGATATTATTAGCCAACCTTTAACTTTAATATTCCAGAAATCATTATCTGCGGGTTTGGTACCTTCAGATTGGAAGTATGCTAATATAACGCCCATATTCAAAAAAGGGGATAGAAGTAATCCAGCAAACTATAGGCCAATCAGTTTAACTAGCATTACTGGAAAAATAATGGAAGCTATAATTCAAATGAAAATGGTAGATTACCTAGATGCAAATAACATTATAAAGGATAGCCAACATGGATTTAGGAGGGGTAGATCCTGTTTAACGAATTTACTTGAATTCTTTGAGGAAGCTACAATAGAAATTGATCACCAAAAGACCTACGATGTGATCTACTTAGATTTCCAGAAGGCCTTTGATGTTGTCCCCCACAAACAGCTCTTGCTTAAGCTCAAAGCTGCAGGGATTTTAGAAACTGTAGCAGCTTGGATCGAAAACTGGTTAACTGACAGGAAGCAGCGAGTAGTTATTAGAGGCACAATGTCATAGTGGGCCTGCGTTCATAGTGGGGTAACGCAGGGTTCAATTTTAGGACCATTATTGTTCCTAATTTACATTAATGATATTGACACCAACACATACAGTAAACTGGTTAAATTTGCAGACAACATCAAGGTGGGTGGTGTATCAGATACTAAATTAGCAGCACAGAGGCTACAACGGGATCTTGACTAGGGTTGGGTATCGTTTGGGGTTTTTTCGATACCGGTGCCAAATCGATACTTTTAAAACGGTACCGGTGCCCAAACGGTGCCTGAACCGATACTTTACAAAAGCCACAAAATGATGGTGGATGACTCAAGAATACATTTTTATTGAACAAAAAATTGAATGCTTAAAATTGAACAATATATTAAAAGTTTAAAGTATATATGAATATATATGTAAATACAAAAAACAACAACAAAACATAAGCCACCTATGTAATGTTAATTTAACATTACATTAGCCTACTACTAACCTGCGGAAAGGTTGCTGTCGTCATCATAATCAGTGGACTCCTTTTTGCTACGGTTGGTATGACTGGGGCTGGGGTTATTCACACCGATCGTGCCAGCTGTTGTCCGCAAGCTGTCAAGCACGGTGCATCCCTCTGCTTTTAAGTTTATTCCGTGTACCCTCAAATGTTTCATTAGATTTGACGTGTTTCCCCCTTTACACGCAACTGCTGTAAAACATTTGCTGCATGCCGCGGTGTTGGAATCCTTTCTTGTGAAATATAGCCACACTTTTGACTGTTTAGTTTTAGGCATTTTAACAAAAGTTGTCTTAATTTAGCAAGCTAAGATAGCAGTACACCACCTGCTGCCGTCAGAGCAAGTGTAACGTTAGTTGCTGCATTCACGCGCATCTCGGATGGTCTCATTTCCTGATGATGTCACGTGTGTGTTGATGAATCTTATGCTTATTACAACTGTGTCATCATAGCCCCAGAGAACAAATATTTCTATCGACAGTTCAGGCATCTAAGTGGCACCGAAATTCGCGTTTTGTTTCGGTCCGGTACATATCAGTTATATAGGTACCGGTGCCGTATTGGCACCGGTTTTCGGTACCCAACCCTAATCTTGACTTAATTAGCGACTGCGCTGATAGCTGGCAGATAAAATTTAATGTAGATAAATGTAAGGTAATCCATGCAGGGAGCAGAAATATGAAGTACAGATATTTTATGGGTTCCACTGAAATAAAGGTAGCTGATTATGAGAAAGACCTCGTTGTGTATGTTGATGCTTCCATGTCCCACTTGCCAGTGTTGCAAAGCAATTAAAAAGGCCAACAGGATGTTGGGTTACATCTCTAGGTGTGTGGAGTTTAAGTCAATGGATGTGATGCTACGGTTATACAATTCCTTGGTAAGACCCCAACTAGAATAGTGTGTACAGGTTTGGTCACCATACCTTAAAAAGGACATTGCTGCCTTGGAAAAGGTTCAACGTAGGGCTACAAGAATGATTCCTGGTCTTAGAGGAATGTCTTATGAGGAGAGGTTAGCTGAGCTGAATCTGTTCAGCCTCGCGCAAAGTAGATTAAGGGGGGACATCCAGGTATATAAGATTCTAACAGGTCTCGATGCTGTTCAGCCAAATGGCTACTTTAATATTTGTTGAAATACTAGAACTCGTGGCCATAGGTGGAAATTAGTGGGAGAACATTTTAAACTGAATTTAAGAAAACACTTCTTTACACAGCGTGTAGTTAGAGTATGAAATAGTCTTCCTGTTCAAGTAGAGCAGGCTAAAACCCTGGGTTCCCTTAAATCAGAGCTAGATAAGATTTTAACAACTCTGAGCTATTAGTTAAGTTCTCCCCAAACAAGCTTGATGGACCGAATGGCCTCCTCTCGTTTGTAAATTTCTTATGTTCTTATGACTCACCAGATAACTGTTGTCGTGACCCAGTTCCTCAGCTGGGTCCGATGTTGTCGCACCTCATCCACAAGGTGTGGGTCTTCGGAGGGGAAAAACTGCTCCAGGATTTCCTCAAATTTATGTATTTTATTTTCCTCTTTAACCTTCAGATTGTGTTCGCTTTCTATTCCTATCTCCTATGTTAGATGGGTCGATGCCGACCCATGTCTTAAATCAGCCATAAAATACCCTCAAAACAATTATTTACCATTCAATTTGTTTCTTACCTCTTGGTTACCTTGTTAGGCTTCCTTTTCCATGAAAAGATTGGTTTTAATATTTTTGGTGTGGCTTTCTGGACCATTCTTTTGACAGCATACCTCTCGTTTTCAATAAAAAAAAAATAATGGTAAAATAATCCTCAAGAGAATTATAGAAATAAACTGAATTGGTCTTATCTTGCCTTACATGTATGAGCATGCCTTGTTTTAATTTTGTTTTAATTTATTTTGTAGAGATTCCTGACAAACTCAAAAAGCTTTTATGCGGTATACAAATCTATGCGGTGCTTTTATGCATTTTAAAAATAAAAACGGGTCAGTGCCAATCCTAACATCACAGGAAGATTAAATTAGAGAGTATGAAACACCATTTTGAATTATTGCTTCTTGTTACATCTGATGTCCTTGATAAGTATTTTAATATTTAATCTTTATATTTACTGGTTGAACAAATTAAAAATACCCTGTGACCTATTATTTTATTGCATTTTTTAACCACAATAAAGTATAGAAAAGTAGGCAACCTGCATAGTTATATGATGGCATGGGCTGATGGGTTAGCCACCAGCTGCCACTGGTCTCAGTGCACATTTAAACCTTGTTCCCTATTTACATTCAATTTGCAATTTTGCTTGGCAAATTTGGTTAGTTTGTCTGTTTATGATTACTATGTTCATGTGTTGTTTGTTTATGATTACTGCGTTCATGTGTTGTTCTTTCTTCTGCCCCTTAGTCCTACACATTTCCTTTAGAGCTAGGTAACTTGTGCCTTTCAGTGGCCCAGGTTGCATCCACACAACATATTATATAAAATATTTCTGCTGGCAGAAAATCTGGCTTTTGATGCAGGTATTATCTGGCCTGGAATGTCTGTTTACTTATTAGACCAGAAATCCACAGGTAAGAGCAAATAAATTATGATTAATGCTGTATTTTATGTACTTCCTGGTATTCTGCTGCATTATGGGTAAAATCTTATGCAGTGTTTATGATTATCAAAACTGGACCTGTGTACTGTCTAGTTTAGGCCAGTTACACAAACCTGTAAAGTAATTGTTTCTCAGTTGTTGTCTAAGCAATTTCTTAGCTTTCAGTTAGTTAAGTAATGTCACTTATAATGAAAGATTATTACCATACATTGATTTACCACTGTAATCTGCTTGACTGGCCTTATGTGTGTGATTCTATAAAATTAATTGACAACATTCAGATTTAAGAATTCCAGTGCTGTGGTATAAAGTACTTCAATTTTCTGGCCATGTCACCCATCGCTTCCTTTGTATCCAACATGGCATATACCACTATGGAATTGTGACACACATAAGTTAACTTAAAATACATTAAATTAAAAGAAAAAATTACACATAACATAATAGCATGTGTTGTCCTCGCTCTGTGATTTTACGTGGCCTACCACTTCATGGCTAAGTTGCTGTTGTTCCCAATTGCTTCCATTATGTTATAATACCACTACCAGTCGACCATGGAATATGTAGTAGCAAGGAAATTTCATGAATGGACTTTTTGCAGAGGCGGCATCCTATCACGGTACCATGCTTGCTTGCTGAGAGTGACCCATTCTTTCGCAAATGTTTGTAGAAGCTGTCTCCATGTCTAGGTGCTTGATTTTATACACCTGTGGCTATGGAAGTGATTAACACCTGAATTATTTCTGGTAAATCTGTAATATCAATCTGTAACTCACTGTATAAAGGCTGTTTTTGTGTTTAACAATGGTGTGCAAAATGTATTCAATATACAATAACAAAAAATGTGGATCAAGAACATTCTTTAGAATGTCTCAGAACACAAATGACAGATCACTTCGTAGAGAAAATGAAATGACTTTACTATAAAGAAAGTCTTCTTTAGCATGTGCTGCATCTCATCATACACGCATACATAATAAATATGTTAATATGCTGCTTTTGCTTTCTGTTTGAATCAGATGTACCTTAAAAACACATTTGCTTCTAGAAGCAGTTCTCACTAAGCTGTTTAGATACAGTTAGAAGTTTGTAAATGTACAATAAAAAAAATAATAAAATAATCCCCAAACAGGAAATATACCACCCACACAGATTTTATACATACACACACAAACACACGCACACACACACACACGTATGTGTGTGTATACACATATATGTATAATCACGCACCACTATCTAGTGATAATCAGAGGCGGACATTTCAGTTCAAGAAAGTAAAAATCCAGACCAAGATTATGTTTCACTCAACCAGTTTCAACCAGTACTCTGTGACTGACTCCGATACTCAACTAGTTGGTAGAAACTTTCTAGACCCGAAATGTCCACCTCTGGTGATGATAATAATAATAATAATAATATCAAGACTTAATGCAACATATGATATGTATCCAGTAGCATTCATCTGTATTTGAATTCCTGTTCTGTAGCACACCCATATTACTGCTGGGTTGTATGAACATGACCTTGATTTAACTTTTTCCAAAATAAAAAAATCATTTCATGTTGGATTTAAGCACACAGTGTAGATTATGCGTACATTATAAACAATCTTTGTGTATATTTTCTCTTTTTAGCAAATAAGCGTACACAGGGATTCATTGAGAAAATACATAAAAATAAGCATCGGAATATTACTCTGCAACCCTGATCAAAATAAGCAGTTAGAAGAAGGATGGATCAGCATATTAATACATATATTTTTGCATGAACAAGGCAACCTTTGGGATCAATATAGAGGAAAAAACCTGGAGGACATTGAAAAGGAGAGGGGGGTTACAGGTTTCGGGAAAACATAGCTGAAAGCTGAAATCATCCCTTAATGCTGTAGGTTGTTACGGGTGACACAGAGTTGCTATGCTTACTCTTCCACTGAAGGCATCAACTGCAGCATTGCACCAAATCATTCCAGAAATGTCCAGGAAATCTGCTGAGCTGGCTGGTGCATGGCAGTCACAATCTGGAGGCCTCAGACAGGCTCAAGTGGCAAAATTCCCTAAAGGGCCCAGAGTATATTTCTTTGAGGTATAGGATAACAAACTTAGTCATTGACAGAGTTATGAAGAACTTTCAAAATGCTAACATCCAGGATAGGCTGGCCATGTAAAAACCAAATTAGGCATAGTAGCCTATTTTTCTTTTATTTTTTGTATTTGTGAATAATATTCTGACTATATTTTCCCTTTACAACAAAGAAATAATCCTGCAGCTTGGATGCAAATCATAAAGAAAAGTTGAGAGCAGGAAAAAAAATCAAAGCACTTGACAGAAATAGTTAGCTAATCGGATTTGTCACATATGAATTCCAAGTAAACATAGAATGATGCTCATGAATTAGTTTAAACAGTTGCTTAAAAAATAAAAGAATTTGTTGTGAACATAAAACAGAGCACATCTCCAGGGTTGATTCATAACAATACATAAATATGAACAACTTTCTTTTGTGTCATACCACACAGAAATGAGTAATAATAATAATACTCATAATAATAATAATTATTATTACCACCACCACTACTACTACTACTAATAATAATAATAGTAATAATAATAATAATAATAATAATGTGTGATGAACCAGCGCCCCATCCTGGGTTTTTCCCTGCCTTGTGCCTGTAGCTTCCCGGATAGCCTCTGGACCCCAGCCATCCTGAACAAAAGAAGAAGGTATAGAAAATGGGTGGATGGATGGATAAATGGATGGATAGATAAATAAACAAACTAATTCATTATTATTATTAATAATAATAATTATTATTATTACTATTATAGCAATGATAACAATAATATTATTATTATACCAATAATAATAATAATGAAGAGCAACATCACACAAACATACATACAAACTTTTATATTATCACTTTACAGTGTAAAAGTTTATTACCTCAAAATATCTGATTTTTTTTTTTTTTTTTTTTTTTTTTTTTTTTTTTTTTTTTTTTTTTTTTTACAGCTTTCACTGTTTCCCCCCCAAGAGGTCATCAATAATTGTTGAGGTAAAATAAAACTTGGGGTAATGCAAAAAAAATAAAAACTCATTAATCAAGTCAACAGATTATGGCCATGGTATTGAATAAAGGTACAATTTCTACATACACTAAGTACTTTTCTTTGCTCCTAAATATCAATATGTGACTAGGTAGCTATTTATAGTGCAGGAAAATAAAGTGGGGAAAAAATTGGGTTAAACTCTTTTGAGCAGTGCCTGTTTTACAGTGGCATGTCTGCTGGGCAGTGGGGAGATCATGCTTCAAACAGAGTCACCAAGTATGTTCAGATGGATCTGGTCCAGTCATAAAATAAGCCCGTCTACTGTGTTGATCTTGACAATCTTTCCTGTTTTGTTGGCACCTGCTGTTACTGGGGACAAAATATTCACAAATGTTGTGTCCATATCACAACCGTTTCTGGTCATACTCATACACAGCAGTCAGCTCTTCAGGAAGCAATACTCCACAGAGCTGGACCTGTTCAGGGTTTTGATTAAACACCGATTCCCATCAATCATACAAAATTACATTGATTATAAAAAGAGCCGACCATCAGTTTTCCAATCAGTATCTCTGCACCTAAATTCTTTTAGACCAACTATTGTGATTTCAGACTAAAGCAGTCAAGTATTGAGCTGGAAACCATGTCACATACAATCAAAACTTGTGTTCAACAGCTACCCCAACTCACTCTTCAAAATAATCTGAGCAGATAACCTAGCAGTGAACATTCAGGAAAAAATCTTTAGGTGCATCTTCTGCTAACACAGACACAGGCAGGCAGGCAGGCAGACAGACAGACAGCCAGACACACACACACACACACATTATACTTGATAAGCCCTTGGAAGTACAATACATCTTTGTTTCCTTGAAGTCATATATACTAATATCTGAATCTATAATCTGTAGCCATTTGAATTAACCCCAAATTTCTCTGGTTAAGTGGGACAGGGGGTAATGTTACAGTAATGTCGTCTTGGGGTACCATTATGTGATTACAAGAAGGAAGTTTGTTTTTGAAAGTCAGCTTACGTGGACTATATGATGAAAATACAGAGTGCATAGCTTTGTTGGGCACTAACAGGTGTGCCATCTTTGTTAACAGCATATACTGACATATATATGTATCAACCAGGAAGCAAGATATTTCATCGTGAATATATCAATATGATAAACTCATGTTAAATGTCCTGGTAATTCATTGGCTCATCCCTTAGTTGATATGTAACAGGTGTGCCATTCTCCTTGATATACCATCTTTTGACAGAAGGGGTGGGGTTAAATCCTTAAATAAAGAAATAATATTAAATGAGTAAAACCTCACAAAATCCTTTAAAATTTCAATGTTGTCTCTTTCCCTCCATTCTTTTAACTTTCCCCATACAGCAAATTGAGGTCTCTGGTACCGTAAGCAGAGCATAGGTTGACTTATACAACTCTTCATCCAAAATCATCCTTATGGCGAGGCAGTTCAGGGCCAAAATTATGACCCGGCACACTCGTATTTCCTAGCTTCACCCTTTTTAAACTGAAGGGCAGTGCATTACTTTAGGCCTTTGAGACTTCCTTTTTCCCCCATGTATAGTGTGTGTCTATGTGTATGTATGTGTACGTGTGTGTGATACCCTCTGTCCTCCTCAGGCTCTCTTAGGGCATGGGCTATGCCAGCGAGTAGATGGCATTGACAGGTGAAGTGGCCTCAGAGCTTTCATTTCCCTCTGTTTCTTCTTTGTCCTTCTTTACGGTGTACTGGCCAATAAAGGAACCGTCTTCATTGAATTGACCATTTCCTCCATCACCATAGTCAACCAGGCTGTCATCGCTCTCCTTTACATTGCCATCCAAGGAGGTCTGGCTGCCCTGCAGTGGCTTATTGTCCTCATCACTGCTACAAAAGACAGGAGTGGAGTCAGAATCAATAGGATTCCCATGCCACATACAATCATATGACTATAGAAAGTACAGTACGTGTCCACAAGAGGTTTTGTGGCCTCTTCAATGATAGCTTGTTGGTAACAGAATGGAAACCACACACACAAAGCCACACACACAATGTATTACACTGTAACATCTGGATTTCTTATTATTTGTCAGAAAAACAAGCGTATGTTTGCTCAAAATACATTTATATTTGTTCTGCTTCTTCATATACTAGTTTTTAGACATCAAAAACTTTAGGGACCAAAAACTTTAAAAATCCCTTCTGAAACAAATTATACAGTAATGAAGTGAAGAAAGTTCTTAAAACATGCCTAAAAAATAACATTTAATACATCAAAGTCAGAATAACCTCACAAAAACAAGTTTATTCTACCATCAAAGGATTTCCATTTGAAGTATCACTGTTAGTACATTAATAAACATTAATTATTCAGCAAAACACCACAAACTACCATTGTAAAGAATGGGTTTCTGTGAATCCATAGGGCAGAGCTGTCATTCAAGGGTGTGAAATGATTTAAATATTTCCGCCTGTTTGCCTTCTTTCTACAAGATCACCAATCACTGTAACAGACTAAAGTAAAGTGAAAAAAGGCCTCTGTTGTGTGTATTTGTGCAACAATACCTATTCTATTCTTATCAGTATTGCTTTATCTTTCTTGCGCAATATTTCCTATATCTATTGTCATATTCACCCATTTATCCATCTCTATATGTCAGACATCCATTTTTATATAGAAATTGTTGTATATGTACTGGGAATTGTATATCTTTTTTATCTAAAATGTCTGACTTTCAGATTGGACATATACTAAAATACCTGTCAAGCCAGCACTTGAAAATGAAAGGATACCTTACTTTTTAGAATTTGAGATTAAATAAGCCTCTCAGATTAGGGAAGGTACAGCGACCCTCAGTCCCTTCATAAGACATAACACATAACTCATAGACATGAGATAGCATATGTGTCAAAATCAAAAACCTGCTCTCATTCCATATGTTAGACCAGATAGGGTGAAGGTATGGTGGAAAGAGAAGGTATGTATGCAATTAAAGAATTACATAACTTGAGTGAATCAGAAGAGGTATGCATGTCAGTGTCAGAGGCATCTCCTTAAAGCATATTATATTCTGCCATCAGTGCTCTACAATGACAACCACTAATATTCAATAGCATTAAATACGCATTTGTGCAATTTGACTCCGGACCAGAAAAATCCTTTTGCAATTCTATACTCAAAACGATGTTTTGATTGTAGTGGGGGATATTTTGACTGAAGTATTCAGACGTAGATTAAAATCTGAAGTGCACATAAACCAAAGTTAAACCTTCTGGTTTTATAAACATGATACAAGTCATACGTACAATATAGATTGAAAACAAGCTTCAATGCATTAATGACTAGGTTTGGTACTGTTGGAAACAACAGCATTGTATTCCGTGAACAGCCCTGTCATTTGATCTGGCCATCTAATCCATACACATCCCACACTCACCAACGTGGACAATTTCTAGAAGTACTGTAAATATTAACATAAGAACATAAGAACTATACAAACGAGAGGAGGCCATTCGGCCCATCGAGCTCGCTTGGGGAGAACTTAACTAATAGCTCAGAGTT